CCCCAAACCACTACCACCATCAACACACACTCAAACACACATCACACACAGGAGACGTATATCAAGCAGGTCCCTCGCGACAGTGACATGGAATTACTAACAAATGTGATTGATGGTGATGAACAGCCTCATAAAAGGGGTGGCTGCTCCATTCCTCCTCTTAATTAACTATAAATTACATGTCCGGCATTTTTTCCGTCACCTCTAGAAGCATATACCGCACGTGGACTTACTCGGATGCATCTGCTTGTTACACCTTTGTTGTTATAACTTAAACCCTGAGAAAACATGTGAACCATTCAACCACACATATCTGCACATTAGGCCTACCTGATCCTCGGGCAAAGCCTACAGTAGCAGCTTCTACTCACTACACAATGGCAGGTAAAGGATATGGCCATTCGGTGATCTTTTTGGCGTATTTTCTGACGAAGTTATCCTCACTGAAAATGAACAGCGAGCGGTTGACAGTGAAACAGTTCTGGCGCACGGGAATGGGGTTATAGAGGGCCATGGTCCGGGCTCTCTGCGCCATAGACTGCTTGTACATTCTCTGGGTACCGGGCCCTCCGGGTGGACCGTGTCCATGCCCGTGGCCATGCCCGTGTCCGTGACCGTGTCCGTGGGGTCCTCCTTGTCTGCTCCCACCTCGGCCGCCCGGGCCCCCTCCACCGGGCCCACCGCCATACCTGGCCGGTACCTCATCTCCGAACCGCGCCATTCTCTGGACACCGAAAGCCAATCTTCACGAAGCAGCGGAGAAGGAGACCAATGCTCAGCTGTGTAGCCACACAACATTACATCCCATCTGGATCAGAACGTCTCATATGCCAAACGGGTTGTCTTGTGCGCTTAAGCTGAACACCTGCACCCGGCGAGCAGTTATATGCTGGTTTTAGCAGACTAGGACGCCCATGTACTGTCTCCTTCTCTGTACGTCTCTGCCAACAGCCAACTGTGGGTGTGAGGAAATAAAATGTGTGGTCGGCTGGCTGGCTGGTTGCACTGTAGGGTAGTGGGGTGTCTCCGTCTTAGTCGGCTCTTATGTCAGCATAAAGCAGAACATGAAATCAACATGAAATCATGGGGAGACTGCAGCGCGTTAACATGAATGTTTCATATTCTCCATGGTTCATGCCTGTATCAGAGCGCACCGCAGCCTCCTGCACCTCTCAGGACCAATAATTGTTCTTTACTCTTATGACAGCATATAATGACTATCTAAACGCCTCAAATAATCACACAGGCCTCAATAAATCAGACTGTCGAAAATAAATCTGCCAATTTGTATCAGCCTTTAGCAATGCCCGTCAGTGACGTTCAACTTGACTTAAAAGGCATTGAAAAGGGAAACGCTTTTATCATTTATTTATTTTTTAAACATACGCAATGTTTGGCACAGTGTGTGGCAATAATGTGGCTCCCGCCACCTTACATCTGTTTTACCAGTGCGCTCCGACAAGCCTCGAGACCAGGAAAATTGTGACATTTGTTATTAATGCGTCTTTTTTTTCAGAGTGCACAATCTCGAGTAGGGAAAATAAGGAGAAATACCGTTTTCTTCTGAAATGTCGTTGTCATTGTTGTCGAGCGCCGGTGATTAAATAATTATCTCAAACGAATTCAATAACATCCTCCTTCGTTGCAACCATCATCTTCTCTCCGTCACCTGCGCGGCCATCCAGAAGCTGATAAAGGGACACACGGACGGCGTCGTCAAAGACAAGGGTATGACGGCCGCTTCTCCGCCGTCTTACACCCTCTCATGTTCTTGGTTTAGCTGTTCGAGATGCAGCAGTGCCGAGAAAGCCCCTTACCATCCCCGCCCCGAAAAGTCTACCTCCGTCCGCACTGCTAAGCCCAAATGTCCTGGCAGAGCGTCCTTTCTCTCTCTCTCATTGGAGAAGGGTAGAGCGCTCCTCACGGCCTCTTCGCTCTTCGTCCAGCGGCCCCAAGGGGAGGAGGAGCGGGACAGACGGACGGACGGATGGATAGATCCGTGAATGGATGAAGACACAACCGAAAGGGAGGGGACCGGCTGTTTCTTTGGGATTCAGGCCGGAGTCTTCCTACAAATTAAATAACTCGCGCCGCGCGCAAAATCGCTGTCTTTCAGTTTGTGTGAACCATCATGAGCGCCTGATCGGTTCTGCAGCCGCAGCGCATGACGCACGCAGCTTGTCCAACTTCCAGGCGTGTGGCACGGACGGAGGCATCGACATAGCCTGTTTATTTGAAGGTGCTTCGGGCAATAGCCCTGCCCAGTTGGACTGGACCTCTCAAGACGCCCAACTCCAAATCAATTTCAAATAATGCGTAGAAGAGACTATTGGCGTAGAGGATGAGGTACATCGGCAACTGTGTGACTGTGCTTCTCATTTCCTTCGACATTTGTTTCATAAAGACCTAATAACTATATACTTATTATAGCCAGATGCGCGCGTGTTTGGCGGTGATGCGGGGTGTCGGCATCATGCAGCTTGAGCAAAGATACAGCTGCAACCCAAACTGACAATGACTGCGCGCACACGGGCGCGTGAGTAAGTAGAGTACATGCACGTCAAAGTGCACGCGCGAGTCTGCCTGTGTTTGTTAGGGAAGGTGGAGGGGGGAGGCTATTCTTAGCAACACACATTTGGAAATTAATGGACGAAGAGAGCTCTTTCCCCCCTCCCTTCCCGAAACGGAGTCGAGGATCTTCTTCCCTGGCTACCTCTCCTCTCCTCTCCTCTCCTCTCCTCGAGGCTTTTCCACAAGCTCCACCAAAACACTGGTGCCTGTTCAAGGTGCGATATGCGTTGCACTAAAGCCCAGTCACAACAAAGATGTTCAATGATAACACAGAGTAAAAACAAAGTCAACGTGAATAGACTGCCGAGAGATAACAAGCACCGCAGTATTTGTTTCTTCTTGTGATAACATTTCTATACAATGTGTGCTCAAATCTGTCATTCTAAACATCTTTCAAAATAAAATCTCCAAGGATGCCGTTTCAGTCTGAATACGGATTGTATTTCCATCTAAAGGATTTTTTTATTGGATTTTCTGGTCATGAAGAGTGATGGCATAGTGGCTATTTAATGAATGTCACGAATCACTCATAAATACACCGTGAGCTACTGGCGCCACGTTACGTTAAGCCCGAGAGAAGAGCAGAAAAAACATGCTTTTAATCCATTGTGTGACCTAATTGATTGACTCCAGAAATAGCTGCCTCTGCGAATGAGAAATGATCATATACAGATTTAAGGGTGACCGGGAGAATTAATACTCCTCCCCCAAGATGTTGAATCAGGAGAGAAACATTGCAAGTGCGTGCGCCAATCGATAACAGCGCGACCTTAAACTTCCATCCGAGTTGTCAGAAAGGGATCGTTTTGCTTTGTGTCCACTTATTAAGCAAGGCTTCCAGCCGTGAGAACCAGACTGACCCCACCACAGGGGCGCAGAGAGAGAGAGAGAGAGAGAGAGAGAGAGAGAGAGAGAGAGAGATGTAGACAGACATTGTAATAGCATAAATACACAGATCTGATACCAGAGAAACTAGCTTCTGACAGCATGGAAAAGTACTACCATGGACAGTGTCACAAAATCAGCACTTGTGCTCTCATGTGGTGGAGTGTCAGGACCACAGAGAGCGCCTCCACAAGCCATATCAGCATCTTCAACATACAAGAAGTCAAACTGTGGATATAGCATAACACCATAAGCCCAAATAACAACCACACCATCACCACAGCTCAATGTAAAGGATAGTGGGTTGGGGAGGGGTGTGTGGAGAGTGTGAGGGGGGGTGACTCTGATGCGGCGACTTGTCACTTGCACACAGTTGCTGGATTAGAGATGCCCAACCTGGACTCTCGTGGTGTCTTTGCCTCTTGAAAGCGTCTGGCACATGCTTGTCGTCAGTAATTGCAGTGACGGCCCTACCATCCACACACACATGACGGATGCGAGATCCTAAAGCCCTTTATTGCATCACTATGAAAGTTAAACAAACCCCAAAACCCATTCACACATCTGGAACATAATTAAGAGAAGTTTGCAGAGAAATGTAGCTACAAGGTGTTGTCTTGTAGGATTTCTTACATTTTCATCTTTTGCTAGTTTATGACTGCTTCCAATTTTAATGATGTTGCAAATCTGACAAAAACCCTCACAAACAATTCACAATACAGTGAGAAAAAAATGTATTTCACAACAAAAAATGTCCTCCAATTTTACAGTCTGCTATATCTTGTGAATGTGTGTGTTTACACTCAGGTGTGATGATCTGTGAAGCGATCTATTGCCCTTCAGAGCCGGAGCCTTTGAGGAGCAGCAGCCTTCTGTCCAACCCTGTTATTCCACACAGCCAGCATGAGAAGCACTGAAGAGCAACAGCTCCCAGGCCGCCCCTGCATCAAACATTGTTACCTCACAAGAGCACATACTATACACTGTCTCTATAGGAAAGATAGGGATACGTGATAATCTCTGTGTATTTATAGCATATGACTGAGGAAAATAATGCAACATGATCGTCTTTCTTCTACAGCGGTGCCTTTGTGAGTGAGTACATTGGAGCCTACTTTTAAAAAAAGCACTGAAACCACACACTTTCTTAAAGAAAGGGGTACACAAATTAAAGAAAATATGACAATGCCCATGCTTTGCAATAGAGTTTACATTATGTAGACGGTTATCACATTTAGCATGCATGTGATTAACTTCAGGTATTGTTTTACATTCTGCTTGAAAGCTGAAATCTGTGAGGAATTGCGGCAACAATGGCATCTTCTACAATAACGGTAATGAGAAAGTCATTAAACTTCGGATGAATGTTCTCTGTTGTGCTTCCTTCTCTGTCAGATGTTCAAATGGTGGGTAGCTGGGAGATGGAGCTCTGAGGCGAGGGCCTAAAAAGGAGTGTCGTGACTCAATGATTCATAAGGCTGAATAATTCAATGGTTGGATGCATGTAGAGCACTCCGCCCCTGCTGAACCTGGTCCTCCACAGACCTCTGCAAGAGTTGTCTTCATCATACACAACATATTGAGGTTAGCATCGGTCAATGGTATATTACAGTGGGTCAAAAATGCTATTTTGCCATAACACATCTTTACATAATCACAGGGAAAAGTAAGGTATGGGTGACGATTCAAGTGTTCAAACTAAATTGGGTCACATGCTGTATTTAGTTTAACTTAACTGAAGCTTAATCTAACTGGTAAAGAGGCCGTGTAACAGATGGGTTCTGGCACGACACCAGAAAAACTGATACAAGCCTAATAGGATAAGGGGATCATATAGTGAATAAATAAAGCACATGCACATAGAGCAGAGCTTGCAGCCCAGGCAGTTCATGACCATGGATGGAGACAGACAAGGAGGACGCAGAGTATGTGTACACACTGGTCAGACTCACAACTAGACAACATCGGAGATGAGGATTTCTCTTCCCTCCCCCTCTCACTACTTTCCTAAGGTCCACCTCACTTCACCTAAAAGAGTTCTCTCCTGACTTAGCTTTTCACTCCTATAACACTGTTGGACTGTTGGACAGTTAAAAGAAGTTGAGGCAATTTACCAGATTTCACGCAGTTCTCCTCTGGAGCCACAAAAGGCAACTTCTTTTTCACATATGCAGTAGTACCATAAACCTATAAACAGGCTGTGATGGGTGAAATTTAGTGGGTTCCCCTTTATGTTCCTTTAATCTCACACCGTTTCCCTTACCAATAAATTGTCATTCTTTATGTTAAATATTGTCTACAGCAGTGTTGCGGTATCTGCACCTTCATACCAAAGTGCTGCAAAAACAACCACTCTGCCCTGCTTCATTCACTTTTCATGATTTTATGACGCATGCAGATCTTTAGATTATCCGGTGACATTCTGACCTCTTGGCGCTTATCATTGCGCAGTAACTGCAGACGGTTTCCACACACGCACCTTCCAAACTCACCATTGCAATGTAGTTTTTCCGGTGATTTTCAGTTTAATTGCGCCAGTCAACAGCATGTACATAACGATGCCTCCGGGGGAAGCTGAACGACGCTAATGCAGCGAGTCGCAGGCGCTTTAAATGAGTGCACCAACTGGGAATGAGAATGTGAACCCAAAACACTCATCATGGCTGGATGAATGTGATGCTGGGGGCAGCAACATGGCATCCAACAATGACATGGCCATCACATCATTTGTATGTGTGTGTGCGTGTGTAGGAGGAGGAGGAGAAGGGGGGGGGGGGTTGAGTTAGTTTTATTGTGGATGCTCACTGACCGAGACCAACAGCAGGTTCACAGAGGGAGCACTAATAATCCTTGTGTATATGGAGTGGATGCACATGTGACATGTAGGCTCATGCTCACATGTATGAAAACAACATTTATCCATGTGTGTGTCTGAATATGGTGACCAAAATGCAAACACGGCTAAATAAGAAGTTTTCCTTCTGCTGAAATGAGCAGAATTCATTTTTAACCATCTAGAATGAATCACCTACTCATAAGTAGGGTAACGCAGCTGGGCCCGCACAACCAACATCTTCTTCCTCCATCTGTTTCTCCGTCTCCTCCGGGCTCCTTGACAGTTAGTCTCACATCTGAGCTGATACAGAATGTAAACATCAGCTTTAACATCCACAGATCTCCTGTGAGGGTAAAAGGAGATGTCCCACTTTCCTTGTATGCTGATATTTCACTAACAAACTGTTTGAAACAATGCAAGAGAGCAGACGAGAGAGGTAACCTGTCCTTAGTGGTAAATAGGCCAGTGGTTTTTTTCAGAGGGAATCTCTTGTGAGGATGAAGTCACCACTTCATCTACTCTCAGAGCTCTCTTCTTTTCATACTCTATTTTTCAACCATTCTAATATTTCAAATAGGTTCCTCGTCCTTGAATTTGTGGGCCAAGGGACATAAAGAAGATTGTTTCTATTTCCCCCTTTTTGTAAGATTATTTTTTTTGCTATTGGATAATACAGATAGTCAGGAAAGGGGGAGGGGACAACATGCAGTAAATGGACATGGGTTGGATTCAAACCCTGGCCCCTGAGGTAAGGACTCAGCCTTCCCCCTACCAGGTGAGCTGCTGGGGAACCCCTATTTTTTAATCATTTAATAATTTCTCCATTTCATTGTGTTATTAAATTCCACTACGGTTAATTTGTGTATTTCTTTCACTAAAGCATGTTACATAGTGAACATTTAAGTTACTATTAATTTAATCAATTATACAAGTGCTTGTAATCAAATATCCACCATGTGACCGTTTTGTCAAGCTGCATCTACACACGTGGCAGAACACCACTTCCTCTCTGCATGTTTGACTTTGAAGGTTTTCTCCAGATGTTGGCACAATGGTGGAGGACACAACTGACCCGAGTCTGTTTACAATAATGAGTCTTCACTGCCCTCCAGTGGTCACAGGACAGAACGGCATCATCTGCAGTCCGAGATCAAGAAAAAGGGTTGCATTTAGATAATCTACAAAACACATATGATGCAAGCAGTTGGTCACTTAACACTTATTGGTGAACATTACAATTTGTCATCTCTGTCCATTGTTGTCTGCTTCTCTAGCCTTTATAGGCCCTTTATCATATAATATTACCAATATGCGACAATGGAAAAATAAATGTGACTATATGAATTATCCAATTCCTTATCAAAGTTAACAAGTGTGTATAAAAAGGTACACACAAAACGAAACCAATTCATGTTACAAATGTATTCGATAACAAAATATAGGAGAACAATAGATATCTTCAATATAAAAAGGTTACATCAGAGAAATGTGTAAGACAGTATGCCACAGGAGACCAACATTTAGGTGACAATATTTTTAGGTATTTATTAAAAACATTTTCTAGCTTCAATTTATTCTGGGAAACACTTTGCAAAGTTATTTTCTACTCACACCTTGGGCAGAGAAACGGCTCCTGATTGAAAAGCTTCACTGCTGGAAGACTCCACCCCCCATAATGCATTGCGTTTTCAACATGGCGTCTCACGTAGTCGCTTGACTTCTGTCAACAAGACCAAAACACAGCTCGAGGTGAATTGGATAGTGTGTAGCGCGTTTGACTCACATCAGTAAAGACAGTAGGATGAAACTGTTGCTCACAGCGGTCAAACGAATCCACAAACCAGCTGTTGACGCCAGTCCGCGGCGCCGCCTGAGCTCCTGTGCCTCCAGCAGCGGCCTGTCACCTCTCCGGGATGAAGCTCTCGTCGTCGGCTCGAGCCGGGAGCTCGTGCGGAGACTCGGCTCACAGGTGGAGGTGAGGACGGGCTTCATCACCGAGGAGGAGGAAGGGTCTTTTCTGCGAGAGCTGGAGCCGGGCCTGAAGAAGAAACGCTATGAATTCGACCACTGGGACGACGTAAGTTATATGTTCGCACGGTCTGTAGTTTGAAACCGGTCTGCACACCTTTCACGCGCGTTACCATATAAAACGTGGGTTGCACCGCACACCTGTTACAGATTGTAGGATTAATTAAGCCCAATTAGTAAAGCTACCGGCTGAAACGTTACCGCTCATACCCGTAGACGAAAGAAAATCATTTTATTTGACCGTTTCCGGGTGTAGTTTTTGGTTAGTTTTCCTGCAAATCCCTAAACAAAACTCCCATTTCAAGAGTACTGGCATAGTAATAACACGTGATTACTAACGACATGTGTCACATCATCAGATGTTGAGCAAAAATGCAACACATATGCTAAAAAATTTAAATTGAAACATCTACGTATTTTTAAATTCTTATGCAAATGTTTTCACTGGCTCCAGGTGACATACAGCAACAACCACAGGCTGTGGAATGAAATCATTCCAACCCTTTTGCGATTCACTTACTTACAGCACGAGTGTTTTCTAAACGTCAGTGACACTGACTTCATCGGTGCTGTGTTCACCCCCCCCCCCCCCCTCCTCTAGGCTATCCACGGGTACCGGGAGACTGAGCGTGCGAGGTGGGGCGCAGCGTGTGAGGAGGTGATGAATCGTGTCCGATCTGTAGCGTTTCCTGAGGGTGGTCCACTCCTTGGGCCGGTGCACGTTCTAGATCTGGACAAGACCGGCTACATCAAGCCTCACATTGACAGTGTCAAGGTAGGTTTTAAAGAAAAATGTTAGTTTCTAACATGGACAATATCCTGAGCACTACTACCAGTGGGGAAACGTTTTGTGTGGGCTGTACTGTTGTCGTAGCTGTGCTCTTACTGTCGTTCCCTCTTAAGTTCTGTGGTAGCACCATCGCCGGGTTAAGTCTCCTGTCAGACAGCATCATGCGCTTGGTGAAGGAGGACGCCACCGATGAATGGGTGGACCTGCTGCTGCCCCGACTTTCCCTCTACATTCTCAGGTTCAGTAAATATGCTGCACATGGAGTGTACTGTAGTTGCATTATTCACCGCAGGATACCGAAACACCATCTTTGAAACTGTGCAGTAATGTGTTTAATCCTGTTCTCTTCACACCCGTGCAGGGACCAGGCCAGATATAACTTCACTCACCAAATCCTGAGAGACGAGGAGTCTGTGTTCAACGGACAGAAAGTGCCTCGGCTGCGTCGTATCTCCGTCATCTGTCGGAACCTTCCGGGCTAACACCCACTTCCACACACAGCTTGGATATGAACACAACGCCACCTGGATTTAGAGGATTATGTCACGGATCTCCATTAAGATATTTAGCAGATATCCCAAATATTTTTGGTTAATGTAATATTTATATACTGTCACGTGCTTCTCCTTTCTCTCCGGCGATAAACCTATACCGACGGTCTGTTAGTTTGTTGTTTTAAACCGAGGAACATGGATCTTTTGTTTCTTCTTCTTCTTTTATTTTAATTCACCGTCTAACCCTATACTTTGGTTTCGATATAGTATAGCGCTCGGATAGCTATTCGGGGCAACAAGAATAATTTGTATCTTCCTACTCTGTGATCCACTGGTTTAAATCTTTTCACACTGTCGTCAGGTCTCTCCTCCTACTTACCTATTGCCTGTGACCCAGTGTGTGTGTGTGTGTGTGTGTGTGTGTGTGTGTGTGTGTGTGTGTGATGAAATCAGTACATGTGCCGTAGTGTGAGCAGTTCTTCAGCTTACCTCAGGGGCTGAGTGGTACCCCGTATAATAGACCCCTCTCTCTTGGTTCCTTGTCCCGATCAAGATGAAAAAAATGGAGCCGTAGAAAATAATTAAGCTTTAATAACTTGTTTATTCAAATCGATTCAAACTATATCTATTTGGATACAAATATAGAGAAAAAATGGTTCACAAACAGTTTGCAACACCCGAATAGAATGAAGCCTACACCAGTGAGCAAAGTGTCGTGCCAAAAGTCCGGAGAAAAGTTACTTTAAAATTGAACACAAGTTAAGATTTGCACCTTCCCTTTCTTCTGCCCACGCGCAAGCCCAAAATGCCAGCCCCAATTCTTCCAAACTGAAGGTTTATATCAGCCTCAGCCTGCCCCGGGTGAGTGTAGCCTTCACGTGTTGGTCTTGTGAGACAGCATGGAGCACTACACCCCGCCCGGACAGGCTACGTGGCCTGATTACGGCCTTTAGTTGACCTTCTCTTTTTGAAGACTAAATTTAGTGGTTCCTAATTTCACTCTAGACTTATGACACTCTTGCTCATGGTTAGGTTCAATACAATGAAAACATGATATCACAGTAACAGTAACACATATAACAGTAAACTTCCAAATACATGTGCTCTTTAGGCAGGGTTGTCTTGTATGATACCTTTATGAGGTAGGAGCCCTATCCCAAGCAATACGTGACCTATCAAGCGATTCAAACAATATGAGGTCGATGATAATTCATATGGTTCATACAATTCATAGGTTAAAAGGTTACAATGTTCCTCAGGTGCCTGCAGTGGCGGCTGGTCAATAGAGGACGCTAGGGCACCGCCACAACAAATAAAATAAATAATAATAATAAACTATACAAATTGTCACAATTTGTGTTTTTGAAATATGGAATCACCCAGTAATATGTGTAAGATATGATATCTGCGGTAAATATATGCTTTTCCTGCACGTCCTCTCCGCGTGTGCACGTCTCAGCTGGCTGGGGCGCTGGAGAAACTGACCCAACGAGGCGGGTCTATGAAGCAGTTTAGCCAATGATGCTTTAATGCTGATTAAAGATATAAATGAGTGACATACAATTTAGCCAATCAGCGTCCTCAAATAGATTCAGCTTGGTTCTGCCCTAAATTGCGCGTTCTCGTCCGGATTAGTCTCTACAGGCGAGTGCCAGTGCGAGTGCGAGCACTACTCCTCCAAGACCCGTTTGAGAGGAGAACTTTGGCGGATAAACTGCAGTGAAAGAGCTGATCCCAGATCAGCCTGACCTCACAATCAGACAGCAGACTAGCGGGAAAGGGAAGCGTGCGAAGCTTCTCTAGTAACTGTACACCAGACAGGTTTGGCTACCTGGATGACGTCATGCTAATAACTTATTTAGCTTTTTAAAACAACGGGGACAGATCCAGCACGGACAGTTACGGGAGTGAGAGACACGAAGCACCTGTCTGAGAAATGGATATATAGTTATAAATAAATAATTATATATATATATATGTGTGTGTGTGTGTGTGTGTGTGTTTTATATTATACTGAATATTATTATATGATATATATATTATTATATTAAACTGAATTCCCTGTGAGGGTGACAAAAATAACATGTCCTGACGTGTTTATCAAAGTGTTATTTACTGCCTTTTTCATGTTGGAATAAAGTAGTAATGCGTGTTTGATACCTTCATTTTTTTGCTTTAAATCATACTGGGATGTTTGCTGAAATTGATTGGATGTGGCACAGCCCTACCTAGAAAATTTTCCACCAGCCACCACTGGGTGCCTGATGCAACCTGTAGCACACCACAGAAGAAGCACTTTAGGTTGCTTAACCTTTAGATTACTCTTAGATTACTCTTTTTGATTATGAAATATCCACAGATCATCTTTGCCAATCGTCTTTGTGTGTGCGTTTTGAAATTACTGGTTGTATTTGAAATTTGATCAGTCATGGTGACTATGTGTGTGTGTGTGTGCGTGTGTGTGTGTGTGTGTGTATCAGACTGCACTCAGTGGAGGACACGTGGAGCAGGCCCACGCGTTAGAGAGCCTCAGGTCCCTGTAGCCTTTTTGTTACTTTATATAGTGTTCTTCTAAAACACCAACTGACCAGGGCAGTCCGTCCAGATGAATTCGCAAAAAGTCGCTCCTTCTTACCTATATCTATTGTGAAGTGTCCTGGACTTTTATTGCAGTTGAGACACTCTCCCTACTGTGCTAAAATGAACCAGCATACTTACAGTAATGTATGTTACACAGTGTCTTTTTTCACTGGAGCATCTTTACAGTTTTGCGGTGGCTGATTTAAGTCGACAACATGGTTTCTACACAACAAATGTGCCATCTTAACCGTAATTTCAAAAACCACTCACTGTTTTTTAATGTGTTACCATCCCTTTGGTTTGATTCTCTACTTCTGCATAACACAGAGTGTGAATGATTTCCAAATAATATGAATGTGAACTTGGATTCCTTCCTATTCTTTACTCACTCCAAACATACACCTCAAGCTGCTGGACAAAGTTCACCTCACGTGGTATTAATTCAAAATTCAAACTGACACTGCTATTAATCGGTCAATGATGAGGCATGCTCAATTTTGTTTTGGAAGCAACTATTATTTAAACATATTTTATCCCTCCTTAAAGTACTTAAGCCTAATCATTATAAGTCAACTAAAATGTTCACTTTTTCTTTGTGCATATATACAGTACAGTATATATATATGTCTAAAATACATTATAACCAGCAGATGGCAGCAGCTCATCTGCATGTTGTCGGTAGGAGGAGTCTCAAATTATACAAATATCTCAAATAGCATACTCAAGATTGATGAACTATTTGCCGGCTGTTGTTCATCAGGATTGCTGAACTTGTTCAACAGGAGGAAATACAGGTAACATAGAAGTCCTTACCAACCTGTTTAGAGGGCTGAAGTAGGTGTGAACCTCTGCGAAGAGGGTGTTGCCAACTGGTTGTGTCTGTCAATATGAAGTTGTTCAACAGGACAGCCAACAAGTATAGGCAACCCCTCTCCGCTGACTTTCACACGTACTCCAGTCCTCTAACAAGTTGGTAGGACTTCTATGTTACCTGTATTTCCTCTGCGGTGAGTCCTGCTTTGAATTGCATTTTTCTTTTTTAATCTTCACTCGGAAGAGCCAGCACATCTATAGAAGATGGGGTCAAAGATCCAAGCGGGGCCAATGCGTGTCCTGGTGACTGGTGGATCTGGGATGGTGGGCAAATCCATTGAGCATGTGGTGCTGCAGGAAGGTGGGAAACTGGACGGAGAAGAATGGATCTTCCTCTCCTCCAAGGATGCTGATCTTGTGTAAGTTTGGCTTCACTTGTACTCTTCTACCCAACTATGCCTGGAACAAATTAGTCTATAATTGATGCGTTTCGACACTACCCAACTATGCCTGGAACAAATTAGTCTATAATTGATATAATTAATTCGACACTTATACTAGAATACATGAAGTCAAATAAGAACCCATATAGGTTGCAACATCCCTTTTCAAACCTGCATGTGTCTCCAGTCTATGTACAATTGTGAATAAATGTGATGTTAAAACACGAACAGAGATGTCGGGCAGACCAGGGCTGTGTTCGAGAAGTATCGTCCCACTCATGTCATCCATCTGGCTGCAAAAGTCGGAGGAATCTATCTACACATGAGGCAGAACCTGCAATTTCTGGTGAGAGATAATGAATGATTCACCATAGCTGACGAATTGTAAACTGTTATAAATATATTTTTAATGTAAACATGGGGTCTGTTGAAAATATATCTACATTGAATTTAAATTGTTACGTCAGTGACAGTTTGACACTTTCACAGAGGGACAACATCAGGATCAATGACAATGTTCTCCAAACCGCTCATGAGATGGGTGTGACCAAGGTTGTGTCTTGCTTGTCCAGTTGTATCTTCCCTGACAAAACCACATACCCCATCGACGAGACCATGGTAAGCTCCTCTCTTTTGTTGACTTTTGTTTGTTTTAGCAACACACATCCTGTTACTTTCTTCAATATAGGGGGATTTGTGGGTGTATTAGGTGGACTTGCAATATATATATATTAGTGCTGGGCAACGATTAAAATATTTAATCACATGGATTTTTTGCAATTAATCGCGATTAATCGCATTGCTATGGCAAAGTTCAATAATGAATTCAAAAGTAGTGTATTGCTCACTTTTATTTTAAAAGTACTGCTATATGAACAAAAGTGCAATAACATTTGGTTCACGAGATGCAGGTAGCATGTTTTATACTTAATGTGAATATACAGTTGTGTGAAAAAGTGTTTGCCCCCTTCCTGATTTCTTCCGCTAACTTTCAAAGTCCTTCGCTCGCTCCGGATCTGTGCCGTTTAAATGCGTTTACCGTGAATTTCAGCATATAGGTGCACTAAAATGTAAGTGTCTGCTGAGTTGACCACAGAGATCTGAGTGTCTGCTGACTTTACCGCAGCGATGTACTGCAGTCTCCAGGGAGAGCAACAGCTGGTGCAGCTTCTCTCTTTATTTCTGCCCCCCTCGACTAGAAGCGGAAGTCACCTTTTCTCTACGGCAAATCTGAAGGGACATCATATCTCCAATACAAAACGATAAACATGAGACAGTCTGTTACAATAATAATAAATTAAAAATACTTACCTGTTTTTTTTTGTTGTTGTTTTTTAATTATTATTATTATTTTTTTCCCATCTCAAAAGACTCAAGGACATACACACACGTTCACACACACACACACACACACACACACACACACACACACACACACACATACATACACAACTGACTATAGGATGTTTGCTGGCTGTTATCCCACTGTTCTTGTCATCCTGCTGTTGTTATGTATATGTATTGTCTCTTGTCTTTCAATTAAAAAAAAATATATAATTATAATAAATTAAAAAAATGCGTTAACGTGCCCTAAAATAATTGTCGGCGTTAATTAATGAATGCGTTAACGTGATAATAACGCGTTAACTTGCCCAGCACTAATATATATATATATATATATATATGCTACAGAGCCATGAAATAAAGTACACTTGCATTGATTTAACTTCATGTTTTCTGTAATGCCCCACTCTCCCAGTTACACAACGGACCACCTCATGACTCCAATTTTGGATACTCGCATGCAAAAAGAATGATTGATGTTCAGAACAGGTAAGCAGTGCAAACATGGGTGCAGTGTAGACACATCAGACATGCTTTAATCGTCAACAAAGGGCTGTGGAGGGAGCAGCCAATGAGGCAAGTAGTTTCTAGTTTGTCTTAGCTCTTATTTATCTTGAGGCTGTTTGTATGGCATTGAGCTAGGTGCTGTCAGACAAGTTCAATTTAGGAATGTCACAAAGCACAATGTTCTCTGTGAGGGGTGAAGTTTCTAGCTAAAGTTACCATGACACTTGACACGCTCTTTACTGTTGGAGGTGTGCAGCTGAAAGAGGGAAGTTAGAGCTCAACACATGTGAGCCACCAATGGGGAACAAAACAAACGTGTGTGAGCAGAAAAGTGTTCATCATTTCTCTGCATGTGTGTCTGTCTGTGTGTTGACAGGGCGTACTTTCAGCAGTATGGTCATTGTTACACGGCGGTCATCCCAACCAACGTTGTCGGCCCCTATGACAACTTCAGCATAGAAAATGCTCACGTGGTGTCGGCACTCATTAGCAAGACATACAAGGCAAAAAGTGATTACACTAATCCATTTTCATACACAAATACGGACTGAGAATAGTGAACAAAACATACAAACAGACAAAAAGAGGTAAAAGAGTATTTTCTCATGTCTCTCTCACAGAGGAGGGAACTCCAATGACTGTATGTGGCTCTGGAGCTGCTCGAAGGCAGTTCACCTACTCTCTGGTACGAGTATTAGTATATATTGCTCTTAGATTTTACTGTATAGGTATGTGCTTCGATGACAATTTCATTTTTCCTGTATCTATATTGGCCAAATGTATCTCTGACTGTATTAAGATAAATAAGTATGATAACATGCTTACATGTCGACTAAGAAAGCGTCCATTGTCTGTGTTTACTGTCAGGATTTGGGTCGTCTAATCGTTTGGGTCCTGAGAGAATATAAAGAAATTGAACCCATTATCCTCTCTGGTAAGTAGTACTGTACTCACCCTTAGTTAGCATTATAATTCCCTTCTGGGTAGCTTTTTGATTGTGTGGTAAGAAAATGTGGGTAAGTTATAGCTTCAAAACACAGAGGTGTGAGACACAGTCACCATGTGTACAGTTTAATCATTCACTTTTCACTGTGGATTTGTCCTCAGTGGGTGAGGAGGAAGAAATGTCAATCAAAGACGCCATGGACATTATTGCAGAGGCTCTGGACTTCAAAGGCATAATACATGTATCCTTTCATCATTCCCCAATGAATGCATAGAGCAGTTTATCACATTGAGATGTATGTGCATATGGCTTTACTTCTGAGATGCTTTTGTGAAACTTGGATATGAAGTACATGCTGTAGGTCAACAGTGAAGAACCTCTTAACTGTATAAAGTTAAGAGGCACGCAGCGATGCGTGCCTTTGGCCGATTGGTTGCCCCGTCGCTCAGAGGTCCCTACGGCCGATCGACCCGGTGGCGGCTGTTTTCTGTCCTGGCCCCACAGTGGTGGAATGAACTCCCCACTGACGTCAGGACAGCGGAGTCGCTGCCCATCTTTCGGCGCAGGCTGAAAACTCACCTCTTCAAGAAGGCCTACCCTGAGCCTTCCACTTAGCACTTACTTAGCATCTATTGTATTCATACTAGCTTATTGCACTTATTGTATTCATATTAGTTTGTGGCACTTATTGCATTCGTTTGTTTCTGCACTGTACGTTGGCTCTGGTTTATGCTCTTAGATGCTTGTTTGAAGAAAGGAGATGTACTTATGACTTCTGGTGACTAGTTGTTCTCTCGAAAACCGATGCTGAATACACTTATTGTAAGTGGCTTTGGATAAAAGCGTCTGCTAAATGACTGTAATGTAATGTAATAAAAGCTCCATAAGGAGTTGCTGGCTTAAAAACGAAACATGTAATTGGACATTACCAATATAATGTGCAAAATTCAGCAATTTAAACAATCTTTGTTCTTGCAACCAACTGAAACGTCTCCCGCGTGCCACGTGCGTAAGAGAACTACGGTTGTCGTCGCGATTCTTATTTTCAGGTGATTATACACAAAAGAAAACATACTTATTAATAATATATTCAATTTCTGCTAATATATCCCCCTAAATGCTACGCACTGTTCCTTGAAGCGCAAAACCCACAGAGATCAAACCCAGTCTCTCCTTGACCCCTCACACCAGTTTGACACCACCCTGTCAGACGGCCAGATAAAGAAGCCTGCCAGCATTGCCAAGCTGAGACGCTACCTCCCCGACTTCTCCTTTACACCCGCTAAAGAAGGTTTGATCTCACTTTGCTGGACTTCTTCATGATAAAGAAAGACAGTGCTGCTGTTGTTTTAGCACTTAATTTCAACTTGACAAATTGTAGTGCTGGGAATGTATCATTATTATGTTGGCATCGTAATATGAGACTAGATATTGTCTCAGATTTTGGATATTGTAATATCTTTTAAGTCTTTTTAGGTTTTAAAGGCTGCCTTACGGTAAAACAATGTACTTTTCTGAACTTAACAGACTGTTCTAGTTGTTCTATTGCCTTTAGCCACTTAGTCATTGACTGCAACAAAACAGGGAGTCAAGCTAGCTGGCTGCTAAGAAAAGCATTTTATTTCCCACAAACATGAACAATGCAAAGGGTACTTATCAGCTGTCAGTCCTGAAACGCATGTGTGTGTGTGTGTGTGTGTGTGTGTGTGTGTGTGTGTGTGTGTGTGTGTGTGTGTGTGTGTGGCAGTGTATAGCAATAACAGAAATTGAAACCCAAAAGAACAGTGTAATGCCGGTGGCAGAAATGATCTCATCTTCCAGAGAGCCAGGCTGCCAAACAAAGAAGGTATTTAGGGCAGAGCAACAGCTGCGCAGGTGTGGCTCATCCAGCTGATATCACTCCAAACAGCACCTGCAACAGATATCCAAAAACAGCAGGGGACACCTTGTGTATAGGAGGAGGAGGGTCGTCACAATATCCACATTACTGATGATTACTCATCAAAAATCTCACCGTGTAAATATTTCGTAAAAGTACACAAAGAACAAATCAACCCGACAATAACGTTGGTAGTACTGCGTACATAATCACATGCATGGAGGCAGCAGAACAGATTAGACTTCTGCCTTTTTCAACATTCAAATGAGAGCTTTGAATGAATATTTGCATGGACCCTCAGCTTGAAGGTGACTTGTTGTTTTCGTTTTTTTCTCCTTCTAGCTATAAAGAAGACCTGCAGCTGGTTCGAGGACAACTACGACAATGCCCGGCTTTGAAGTGACTGACCATTAACACCACTCTTTGGTTCTGGTGTCGAGCAAGTTGTTTTCACTGTACAATATTGGTTCATTCAGTGCCACAATAAACATTGCTGAACATATTCTCTCGTGTAGGCCTGGAGCCTCTTCATTTTTTAATCGAAGGAATTTCACACTCTAAACAATTTCACCGTAAAAAATAATGGTGAAGCTACCGTAATACCACTTTGGTGATAGGTACCTACCACTGAAAAACAACAGCATACCACTCCAGGGATAGGTACCTACCACTGAAAAACAACAGCATACCACTCCAGGGATAGGTACCTACCACTGAACAACAGCATACCACTTTAGGGATAGGTACCTACCACTGAACAACAGCAGCATACCACTCCAGGGATAGGTACCTACCACTGAAAAACAACAGCATACCACTCCAGGGATAGGTACCTACCACTGAAAAACAGCAGTATACCACTGACTCCAGGGATAGGTACCTACCACTGAACAACAGCAGCATACCACTCCAGGGATAGGTACCTACCACTGAAAAACAGCAGTATACCACTGACTCCAGGGATAGGTACCTACCACTGAAAAACAGCAGTATACCACTGACTCCAGGGATAGGTACCTACCACTGAACAACAGCAGTATACCACTGACTCCAGGGATAGGTACCTACCACTGAAAAACAGCAGTATACCACTGACTCCAGGGATAGGTACCCAGTGACGTACCTATCCCTGACTTTTAGGCAATAAGCAGTTTGAATAATAAAAATATTCTATCGTCATTACAGATACATTGACATACGATAGACAGTACAATGGAGATGGATTGTGATTCACTGAACTTGTATAGAGAAGCGTATTTCCACCACTTCACATAAAATACTGTATTATGCTGCTAAATTAAAGTTGTCTGCTGTTATTGATAATTTACGGCATTAACTGTTAATTTACATTTGAGGGATGAACATTTAACTGTATGTTACAGCTATGAAATACTGTAAGATACTGTTGAAAATCCACCGTAAATTTACAGCAATTCATTACAGTGCACATTAACGCATTATTAGAGGTGTTCTTCAGCTACACCTTCCTTAATGATTTAATGAAACCGTCAGATATTTCATCATTTGGAATGATTAAGCAAGAGTCCATGATCATAATAGAATATACAGATACATACATATATGCTAACAGCTTTAAGTCCTAGAACAAAAATGACAACCCGGGCCGACCGGTCCTTCTCTGTTGCTGCCCCGAGGCATTGATTGATAATAATCCTCCCAAACAGGCTCATAGGAACGCCTCACTGTGCAAAGAAGAAAACAAAGCACAATGAAATGGCTGCCAACTGAACTCCACTCCTCCAACCGGACTCATGCACAACAGTGGATGTATTGCAGGCTGAAAACACATTCAGTACACCTCAAGAAACGAAATAAACTAGTTTATAATTATATTTGAAGCCCTTGAGGATGCAATCTTCCAACTGAAGTTGTAAAAATGATCCGTTTACTAAACCTTACTTCACAGGTTACTGTTTGAGATTTGAAATGCTATTTTAGTTTTCTATACGAAGCATATTTATCAAAAGCTTTTTCTCTATTAAATTTCCATACACTAACGTTTGTATGAAAATAATAAAGGACGTAGCCTGTTTGAGTATGTTGCGACGAGGGTAAATGAGGGAAGGGGTACAAAGAGTAAACTCTCACACAGCCACAGATTTTACATTTTATTGGAAAAAATTAGACAGAAAAACAAAACAAGTTAAAGACTTTTTTTCAATCATTAAATTCCAAGTTAAACTGTTCACACATGGAGAAAAATCGAGTTGTTTTTCTATTATTTAACGTGAGATTTCAGGGAATGAAAAACTAATTCAGGATGCTTAATACTTAATACAAAACAAAATACTTTTTGAAAAATGCCACCAGTAATGACAGTTTCAACTTCCGATCCTGTGGCATGTCACAGCACAGCATGTTTTAAAACGGACACAGACCCCCTCAGGGGGCCTTGGTTTTGTGACTGAAGACGTTCACTTCCTCTCCACCCCGTCGCTTATTCGGTGAGGTAGAAGTGCATTTTGTCGTTCACATTCTTGCGCTCCGGATTGAGGCGCTTCAGGATCTGTGCCAGCACGTTGACGGTCTGCTCACTGCTCAAACCCGTGCGCTTGGTCTGGAACTTCTTCAGCAGGTCTTTGGTGGTCATCGGTTTACGGATCAGGTATCGCCGGACTGCTTCCTCCGTTAGCTGCACATCACTGCGGAGTAGACGGACAGAAAAGAACACCGTTTTTAACCTGTTCACAAAGACCAAGTTCAACATTTAAACAAAAATATATATTTTGCAGTTTCACCGTAAATCTCAGAATCGTTAAATAACTTAATATTTCTGAAAGGCATAAACGAAGACTGGGAACAATCAAGTACCTGGAGCTAGGAGTGGATTTGCCTGATGGGGGTTGAGGCGTACTCTTCCCAGAGGGAGCAGGGCTCTGACTGCTGGGCTCCATTTTGAGCCTTTTGGCAGCTGGTGAGTCAGCGCTCGGACCCGGCGTCTGTCTCTTACCTGCAGGACAGACAGAATTAGTTGGAACAGAATAACGAATCAGCGACATCAATGGCCACTTTTGAAAGTTTCACACAAATATGTCGAAATGGCGTATGAGGAGGCACCTTGCTCTAGCTTGCTGGCAGCAGCGCGGAGTGTGCTGGAGGTGGAGGCAGAGTCTATGGATGGTGTCCCGGGGCGACTGCCAGTCCTGGAGCTGCCTGCTGAGCCACGTCCACCACGTTTAGGAGGCGTGCGCTTCTTCTGAGACGGGGAAAGAAAGAGGGATGCTCGATGAGACGCTACAAACATGGAAACACAGAACCATCCGTACGGTGACCCCCCCCCCCCCCAAGAGCTCTGCTTGCGTACAGAATTTGCTTTACAGTAATTGAAAATATTCAGGATGTTACAAGAGATTAGTAACTGATCATCCTGTTGCTTACGACCAAGTTGAATGTGAAAGAGAAAATGCACGAACATCCACTTATGCAGCCACGCACACACTAATCACCATGAACAGAGCGGAGGCCGTCTCTCCATCGATGTCACTGTCGTCCGAGCTTTCTGACTCGCCGCTGCTGTCTGTGACACACAAAACCACACAACTCAGCATAAATGCACTGGTCTTCATGCATCAAGCAGACGGGAGTGTCATTTAACTCTGCTTATGTTTATTAAGAGCTCATTAAAGTATGTATGTCGTCAAACCCTTTTCTGTCTCCGCGGGGTCTGCACCTTTTTTCTTCTTCTTTTCTGTTTGGACCGGCGTTTTCTTTCCCTCCTCTTCTTCTTCCTCCTCTTTCGCTTCCTCTTCGTTCGGTTTCTCCTCCTCACTCTCTTCCTCACTTTCAGACGCCTCATCGATCCCTATAAAGGACAAACATTTTGGAAGGAAAACAATCTAAATACCAATCATTCATTCCGTAAAGCCAGTAAATCCTAAACACAACAACTTAAACGCTTTGTGTGCATTGAGTGAGGACTTACACTCATGGATACGAGTATATAACACATGCATAGAATCATTGTCTTCTTTTCATTACGTGATTAATTAAGTGATTAGACCTGACCTTTGGGGTGATCCTCTCCTTTGCTGCTGGGCTTTCCCTTTTCCTGCTCTTCGTCTGAACTGCTCCGGGAAAACAGAATGACATGCTAGTGAAGGAAGAAACACAGCCAACGACCAACATTTTGTATCGTGCTCACAAAGAGGGAGTCTTCGTGTGAAAGGACACGACGGATCTGACCTGCTTTCATCCGACATGTAATCCACCTCTAGACCCTCTTGGTCCCCGTCATCGCTGTCCTCCAAGGCCTCTTTGTCACTGCTCTTTCTCTTCTTCTTCTTTCCCTTTCCTTTCCCCGTGTCTTTCTTCGCCTTCGTCTTACTGTCTCCATCTGTCCGATGAAGAGGTGGATGGAAAGGGGGAAATCACACGATGACAGAGGGAATGAAAACGTGTACAGCTATGGCAGACTGAAGGAACATTGAATACTGCAATCCCGTTTAAGTGTCTTTAATCCCATCCTTTTTCTTCCTTCTCACCTTCCCCCATACTGCTGTCGCTGTCATCGCTGCTCATCTCCAAGTCGTCCTCCAGGTCGTGAATGCGCAGATCGCCCCCTCTCCCACCCCCCTTCTTTTTCTTCTTCCCGGACTTCTCATTGTCATCGTCATCATCGTCACCACCACCACCACGCTCCTGCTCCCGGAAACGTCTCTGAAGCATGATGCTGAAGTGATTCACCACCTTGTTTCTTCTGTAAAGCGAGGAGAACTTCTGATATTAAGTGTTTGACACACATACATATATTTTATTTTTAAACTAAATATAGCTATCCCATGTTCAACCCCTATTCGCACCTGCCCCACTCCTCCTCAGCCTCCTCAGCAGTGAGAGTTCGGTGCTTGGCCTGCGGTGTAAAGTTGTACCAGCCGTTGACTGGGAAGGCCTCAAACGCTCCATCAGGACACTGAGTAAAGATGTAGTACGATGCATTTTCTGTAACACCGCCCTTCTTTACACCTTTGAACCTGTAACAGGTAGAGATAAAAACAGTAGAGATCCCCATGAAGAACATTTGAAATTCTCTAAAAGTATAAAGAACAAACATAAGTATACGTGTGCTCCCTCCGAACCTAACCAGGTTCAAAGAGAGACATGTTGGTTAATTTCTTTCTCCCCACCTCTTGCCGGCCTTGCCATTGACCTTAAGAACCCAGGGCTGATCCTCCACTTTGAACTCTCGTTTCACAATACCATACTTCTTCCGGCGCGCTTCCTCACGCTGCTTTTTGCCAAACTCACTGCCAGCCGCGCCGTCCGCTGCCTCTTCCTCCCCGTATATCCGTCGGGCACTCATGTCTCTTTCCATACGAGCCTGAGAAGGAAGGAAGGAAGGAAGGAAGGGAGGAAGGAAGGGAGGAGTTAAGAAATGTAAGTCGCTATTGCTGCTTCTTTAAGACACTCGTCTTAGACTTCAGATTTTCTGTATTCTTTTTAGGGTAACCACGCTGCTTGTCATTTCTCTCTGTGCTACACCACTGGCAGGAAGCCCACCTGAGTCCAGGTTGAACAGTTGACTCTGTCTCCTGAATTGAAAGCCATGATGTTGTACTTCTTGCTGGTGTTTCTATGGGACAGATAAACCAAAATACAAACAAAAAAAAGATTAACTTTAGCTGCTTATTCCTATTGGGGGGTCACAGGTATAGTATAAACAATACACCATGTAGTCTAACTAACCAATTCTTATTTGTAATGGCACATTTCAGCATCCACATCAACACACAGGACTACCACAAAGGTCAGTACGTACACATACGATCATTTCATCTACATTCTTAATACAGACGTCTGCAAAACATGAACGAGGAGCTCTGCACACCATGTTTTAAGGCTTACACAACATGCCTGCACAGAAACTAACAGACACGTGACCAGGCTTGTCGGCTCACTTTTCCGCCTGAGGACATTTGCATGACAGGCCATGTTACTCACTTGGGAACTCGCACTGTGTATTCCGTGGCTGAGGAACTGCTGCTCCCCTGTAAGACAAACAGTTTGCCATTTATTTTGGGGGACTTTTGTCTCTTGCAACACACCGCCATCCTCCTTTAAAATTAGATAAATAGTAATAAAAGGCTGACTACATGATATGTGAAGGCTGTGCTCTTATTTCTACCTTACAGTTAACTTGTCATAAGATTACAGAGGTGTACAAGTACAAGATCAGAACTTATTAGCGGGTATAAAAGTCAGGTTTTGTAGTTGAGAGCGACGAGATAAAACTCACCAGCGAAGTCATGGTTGTCTCCGTGGTTGTTATGAACACATAAACAATGGCTTCAGGTTAGTTGGGCAGCGTTACACTATAAAAAGAAGAGTTACGTTAACCAGGTTAAATGTGAATAGAAAGCGCGCGCACACACACCTGTTTCCACGAGGGTTAACTAACGTTTAATAAACAATACAACAAGTATTTTAATAATACTATAGTCAATAACCGCAACATAAAACTTGATAACGTCTCACACTGACTAAAACGCTTTGTACCGTTAGCATCTGATGCTAACACAAACAGCAACAACACGCCTAAATAGCAGCTTTAGTTGCAGTCTGTGGCTCGTGAAAGCGATGCTAAGATTCTCCAGCTTCAAACTGATGAGGCGTTAGAGATGCAGGGACACAGGAATATAGAGCATTTAGACATTTAACATAATTTAAATGCAACTGATTTACCGGTGCGCGTACTCTCACTGTACTTATTCCGTTCCTATAAATAGTGGTGAGGAAACACAGACTATGAATAATGGTTCCTAGTAAGTTCGCCCGCTCCGTCCTCCTTTCTTTGTTGAGCTCGTGGGGGCTCGGGATGGCCATGTGTTCAAGCTACCTTTACTGTGCCACATCGACAATATATCATAGTTATTACCTTTATAGAGAAATTAACAAAACCATTTTATATATTGTATTTCGATTATGAATTCCTCAGTCGTGACTTTATTTTGAAAGTATACACCGAAAGTTTCGGTAAACTGTGTTTGAAATCCTACTTGAGTATGTTGTGTATGCGTTACATGTTTTAATTGTTGTTTTAAAAAGTGTTTATAATTTGTATGCATACTGACGTTTATGGAAGTTAGTTCTAAACATGAAAAAAACGTATTGTTATGAACAATATCTTTATTAACATGTATGCCTTGATTTAAATATAAACACCTCTAGCTGGTCCCCAGGCCCCACAATTGTCACTAAAACAACTCATTATCAACAGTTATTACCAGTACTGATGTTGTGTTTGTAACAATCACAGTAATATTGTATTTCAATCAATATCGATCATATCTGATTTAAACTCTTGACATTAATTTATTTGATTGTAGTACTGTAGTTCCCTAGTGTGACCACTGGGGGGCAATGGACACTCATGAGTCTAAATATACAGGTCAAATCCAACTAGCATCAAGGTAACGACAAATAGATGAATCAAAGAATTTAAACAACCGAAAGAGACAGTCGTGTTTCTTTTATTATTATTATTCTGTCAGATTTCCCTCTTAATATCTGGTAATATCCTGTGGGTGTGATACCATTTTACTTAGTCAATCAGTCCATTCTGAATATAACTAACATAATTCCATGATGATAGACACCAGTGATCTTTCCTAATAATGTTGTCAAGAAATTATTTCTTTCATCTCATTCCTTCTTTTTGGTATCAGCCTTGATTTCAATGCAGCATTTTCACTGGATTTTAAACTTCAGTTAACGAGACCATGTTTGCAAGATGTTCACACAGTACATAGCTGCTGCCTTAAAAAAAAGGACCAGTGTGTTTTCCTCTGTTTGTGTTTGCAGGGATTTGTTGGTTATTTACATACAGCCTAGCTGCACAACCATGTTACAGTTTTACAAGACAAATTGACATGACAAGGGAAGCACACACCTTCTCTTCTGAGGTGTTTCACTCTGGAAACTATATATATATGAATTTATAAATGTTCAGACATATTTACAACCACTCAGAAATGGTGACTTTGATAACAAAAGGAGCAGTATGGACTTTTTCATCTGATGTTAATGCCTCACTGTACATGGGCTTACATCGAAATACCCAAGAAGAATATCCAAGCCATGATTACATAGTCTTAAGCATGTTTACTTTATCCAACAACATTACTCTCTAACAGAATTACCACACATTTACCATCTTTAGGATTGACAAGAAGCTATTTCAGCCCAAATAAAACATTTGTCTTTATTTTGCCTCTGGGGAATGTTTTAGCATCATAAAAAAACCTCTTCATTGAAGAATGTTTTCGAACATTTGGCTTTCTATTTACCAACATAAATGCATCCATGTGCAATATGAATAACAGGTAAACCTCCTGTTAATGATCATGAAGCTAGGCCAACACAACACAACCACAGCAAGAAAAAATAATTCAGATTCAATACAGAAACATATACCACAAAGTACAACATGTTCTTAATACTTTTTATTGCATTCGGAACATAGTTTGGGGTGATTCTCTTACTACTAAGCATAAATGTTAATGTATTGCAGTATGCCTCTCAGACCTCTGCTCCCTCCTCGCGTCTTGAGCTGTGTCACACGTAAATAATTTTGCATTGGTTTTTGCATTGGTGCCAAACCTTGTAAAAACAGTTTTTGGATGCTGTGCAAATCAGCAAAATGTAGGTATACATGGCTTAAACAGTGGTACTTGTTTTGTGGAGTCCGACCTGTCATGATGCACTGCTGTGCCTTTTCACTGCTCCTGGGTGAGTTAATTCATGTTTCATATAGTTGATGATGTGTGACAATTACTGTTCACTTATAATAACCCTGCTAAGGCTGCACAATTGTTTTAATACCTGTATCTGGATTCAGATCTGCCTCCAGAGTAAACATGTGCTTTTTATTTTTTAACCAAATGCAGCAATATTATGAAAATAAAATTGAGTTTACTAAAGAATACTGTACATTGGCAGCAATTGTCAGCAATATCATCCGCACCAGCTCAACATTGAGATCATTTCTATAACAGTCTTGCATATAAATCTTCACACACATTTTAAGATTATATAAATGATGTTTAGACTTTTTTAGAATGCATAAAAACAATAACTCTTCTTTGTCTTTGTGATTTATAGGTTCCCTCTTCATCATTGGCCATTGTGTTTTTCCTCCTGGTAAGAATGATTTTCACTTGTAAACATCAGATACAGATTCTGGTTCTTGCTGAAATATTTTCATCATTATTGACATATGCACGATTTTCTGTTCCACACAGGTTCTTGTGATAGATACACGAACATAACTGACACATGGCGCAACTACTTATTTGAATCAACCTCCTTTCCTGGCTATCCAAATGATGATGGACGTCTTGTTTCGCATTGGTGCCGCTTCACAGGGTTTGGTGGAGACAGACTTTTGACAGGCTGCCGTTCAGGCCATCGTGGTGGTACCATGTACCCCATCTATTTATCCTTTAGTCATCCAACAACTGAATCGGAAACTCCGACAACAGGGACTGGATATGGTTGGACTGGAAGGTGCGCTGCTTATGGTCTTACAATAGCAGTGGTCCTCTGTCCTGAAGGATTCTACATCTACAAACCATCAAATCACCCACGTAGCAGTGCGGCTTATCCAACCTGTAAGGGGTTATTACTCACTGACATCCGTTGCAATGTACTGAAGTGTATATTTCAATGTCCCAGTAAATGATGTGCTGCTAACTGCAGTTAAAGAGATACTTCCATCTTTCACCAAGAATATTGTTTGTCTATTTGATTCTGTGTGTGTGTTTTGTCTCTGTTTAGACCATTCTGTGTGTAAACCAGACTCCTGTGGACCCCTTGCTCAGTGTGCAGTTGGTGGAGGCTGTGCTTGTGTTTCTGGGTATGAAATGCCCCCAACACACCTACCCACACCAGATTCATATGGTTGTATAGGTATGTACAGTTATTTAATCTGAACTGCAGTAAATCACAGTGGGATATATAATCACCGTAACTATATTTGATCTCCCGTTCATTTCATTCATCACACCATTAAGATGTTTCATTCATTTCATTTTGTGAACATGTACTGCACTTCGCACCTTAAACTCTTGTCTGTAACGTCTCTTGGCAGACATAGATGAGTGCCAGAAGACTGCAGGAATTTGTGGTCCCGACGCCAAATGTACCAACACCATTGGATCACACTCCTGTACCTGTCTGGATGGATACAATTCTACAGCTCCAGCATTACCACCTGAAACTTCCAACCAATGCACAGGTACCGTTTAAAAAAGGTCTCGCTGTCAATCTTGAGCTGCGATGACATTATTGAGTTCAGGCTGATATACAACTTTCTGTTTTCCTTTATAGATATTGACGAGTGTCTTGACAATGTCTGTGGCGATGGTGGGACCTGTCACAACAACGGAGGAAGTTATGTGTGTGAATGCCATGAAGGCTACCACCTTGTGCCCGACGCAACTCCAGTTTGCCAAGGTCTGTTTTCAGAAATGATACACATCACCGGATAAAAAATACTTTTTCTCATGTCCTCTAAGCTATTAACAGATGTAGTTCTAAATGTCAAAATATGAATATGAATATGACATTTTTGTTAAACCCCTGTTTCAGCACATTTACTTTGGAGTAAAATCACTTATTCCCCATTTATTTTAGCATCTTCACAATTTCATACCAACTGTGTTGAGTGTTCCTTCCTCAGATATTGATGAGTGTTTCAACTCCACCGTCTGTGGCCCTGAATCTGTTTGCACCAACAAACCGGGAGCTCATACCTGTAAATGTCAGCTGGGGTACGCACCGACTGAACCGGACCAGGAGCCCAGCGAGACCAACATCTGTATTGGTATTTAGATTGATGTTTTTCAGATTCAAGATGTTTTTCAGCAACTAGGAGCAGATGGAAAACTGCAACTCAATTGTAACTTCTAACAGAAGTGAAGAGTCACACACAAAGCTATCTTGTTCGTGTATCATGTATTTGGCAGATGTTGACGAGTGTGACAAACATGCCACCATCTGTGGTCCTGATGCCAACTGCACAAACTCAATCGGATCTTACGCCTGCACCTGCTTCCCTGGTTTTCGGCTGAACAACCCAGGTGTGATAGCCAGCATTGCTAACCCATGTACAGGTGAGTGCACATGTTCACTATTAGTGTGATGTTGCTACCATATATTTTAGTAGTATGTGTTTAACAGTGTGTGTTCTCTCTCTTTACAGATGTAGATGAGTGCAGTGAGACACCTGGTTTATGTGGTAAACTAACTGTGTGCACTAATGTACCCGGGACCTTCTATTGCTCTTGTCCTGACGGATTCTACCCTTCAACTGGACTC